TCGCAGGAGGACGAGGAGGAGGAGAAAGAGGATGAGGAGAAGTACGAGGAGGAGGAGGAGGTGAGATGGCAACAACGCATGACAGTGCTGCCTTCAGGGCTTCAGGATTTCAGCGGGAGGAGGAGGCGGAGGGGGAGGAGGATGAGGAGGATGAGGAGGAGTAAGAGAAGGAACAGGTGGTGGAGGAGGAGGAGGATGAGGAGGAGGAGGAGGGGGAGGAGAAACAGAGAAACAGAGCTGGAAAAACGTCGGATGACGTTCTGCCGTCAGGGTCTCAGGATCGTTGCAGGAGGAGGAAGAGGAGGAGGAGGAGGAGGAGGAGGAGGAGAGGAAGACAGCAGGGGAGGAGAGATGCTGAGGAGGGGAGGAGGAGGAGGAGGTTGAGATGGGACAACGTCGGCTCGAGCGGCAGCACCCCATGAGCACAGGGGTTGAGCGGAGGAGAAGATGAGAGGAGTAGGAGGAGAGGAGGAGGAGGAGGAGGAGGAGGAGGAGGAGAGGTGACCAACAGCGTCGGATGACAGTCCTGCCGTCAGAATCTCAGGTTCTCAGCAGGAGGAGGAGGAGGATGAGGAGGAGGAGGAGGAGGAGGAGGGGAGGAGGAGGAGGAGGAGGATAGATGGCAACGTCGGATGACAGTTCTGCCGTCAGGCTCTCAGCGTCCGAGCAGGAGAAGGAGGATGCAGAGGAGGAGGTGGAGGAGGAGAAGGAGGAGGATCGATGGCAACGCCGGATGGCAGTTCTGCCGTCAGGGTCTAAGCAGAAGGAGGAGGAGGAGGAGGAGGAGGAGGAGGAGGCGGAGGAGGAGGAGGGAACAAAAGAGAGGAGGAGAGGGGGAGGAGGAGGAGGAGGAGGAGGAGGGAGGAGGAGGGAGGAGGAGGAGGAGGAGACGGAGGAGGAGGACGAGATGACAGCGTCGGATTGACAGTTCGGCCGTCGGGTCTAAGGGTTTCTGGCATGAGGAGGAGGAGGAGGAGGAGGAGGAGGAGGAGGCGGAGGAGGAGGAGGATGAGGAGGAGGAGGGGGAGGTGGAGATGGTCAGGAGGAGAGATGGCAACGAGGGTGCATCGTTGCACGGCGGGGTCTCAGGACCAGAAGGAGGAGGAGGAGGAGGAGGAGGAGGAGGAGGAGAAGGAGAAGGTTGAGGAGGAGGAGGAGGAGGCAGGAGAGGAGGAGGAGGAGGTGGAGAGATGGCAACGTCGCAGCCAGTGCTGCAGTTCAGGTGTCTCAGGTTTCAGCAGGAGTAGGAGCGTACGAAGGGAGAGAGGAGGAGGAGGAGGGAGGGGAGGGGAGGAGGAGGAGGAGGAGGAGGAGGATGTGGAGGAGGAGGAGGAGGAGGAGGAGAGAGGAGGAGGAGGAGGAGGAGGAGGAGGAGAGGAGGAGTAGGAGGAGGAGGAGGAGGAGGAGGAGGAGGAGGAGGAGGAGGAGGAGGAGGAGGAGGAGGAGGAGGGGAGAGGGAGGAGAGGAGGAGGAGGAGGAGAGATGGTAATGTCGGATGACAGTTTTGCCGTCAGGGTGGCAGGGTCTCAGCACGAGCAGGAGGAGGAACAGGAGGAGAAGCAGGGGAAGGAGGAGGTGGAGGAGGAGGAGGAAGAGGAGGAGGAGGAGGAACAGGAGGAGAGATAGCAACGCCGCATGACAGTTCTGTCGTCAGGGTCCCAGGGCCTCAGCAGGAGGAGGAGGACGAGGGAGAGGAGGAGGAGGAGGAGGATGAGGAGGAGAAGGAGAGATGGTCACGCCAGATGACAGTTCTGCCGTCAGGATCTCAGGGTCTCGGCAGGAGGTGGAGGAGAAAGACGAGGAGGAGGAGGAGGAGAAGAGATGGCCACTCCGCATGACAGTTCTGCCGTCAGGGTCTCAGGGTCCCAGCAGGAGGAGGAGGAAGACGAGAAGAAGGAGGAGGAGGAGGAGGAGGAGGAGGAGGAGAGATGTCAAAGTCGGATGACAGTTCTGCCGTCAGGGTCTCAGGGTCTGAGCACGAGGAGGAGGAGGAGGCGGAGGAGGAGGAGGAGAGATGGCAACGCCGGATGACAGTTCTGTCGTCAGGGTCTCAGGGTCCCAGCAGGAGAAGGAGGAGGTGGAGGAGGAGGAGAGATGGCCACGTCGGATGACCGTTCTGCTGTCAGGGCCTCAGGGTCTCAGCAAGAGGAGGAGGAGGAGGAGCAGGAGGAGGAGGAGGAGGAGCAGGAGGAGGAGGCGGAGGAGGAGGAGAGATGGCAACGTCGGATGACAGTTCTGCCGTCAGGGTCTCAGGGTCTCAGCAGGAGGGGGGGGAGGAGGAGGAGGAGAGGAGGAGGAGGAGGAGGAGGAGGAGGAGGAGGAGGAGGAGGAGGAGAAGGAGGAGGAGGAGGAAGAGGACGAGGAGGAGGACGAGGAGGAGGACGAGGAGGAGGAGGAGGAGGAGGAGGAGGACCATGCGGTCCTTCGTGTCGGTGTTGGGACGGTCACGGCGACGAGGGGGGCGCAGAAGCAGCCCCGACCGCCCCGCGAGCTGTCTCTGCGCTCGAGCCCCGCCGCGCCGCCGCGCCCAACGAAGCTTAGAGGCCGCGGGGGGGCGCTGTCGGCCATCCTGGGGGGCCCAGGCCCTCTCTGGCTGGCCTGGGCGGTTTCAGCGCAGAGCTCACTTTGACTCCTCGGTGGAGGAAAAGGTACACCATACCGCCACCCTTCCCTCGTTTTCCCTGTTTGGAGCCTCCTGGGAGGCCCTCGTCGCCGCCGCTGGGTTTGCGTCCATTTTTTTTGCCAGACCGCACCCCAGGAGCGGTCCGAGGAGTAGCAGTACGGGTACCTGCTGGTTTCCGCATCGTCAGTTTCTGATTCCGATCCGTTTCGACTTCGACGTCCGATCTGGATCCCGATATCTCAGTGAAAGCCTGACTGGCCGGCCTATTTCCACCGATCTGACTTCTCCCGGCCTTACTGCCGATTTGACTTGTCGAGTTGATTATTGTCTCTCTGAAAGAAGAGATGCCGACAAGGCCCGACCACATCGTTGTTCAGTTTGGTTTGCGCCTTTGTTATGTTCCTCGCTTCGTGGTTCGTTGTTGTTTCGTTGTGTGTTTCGCTATTGCATCACGCGCCTCGTCGCGTTGTCCGTTTCTTATGGCACAAGTTTCGTTTTAAACGTTTGTTTACACGTTTCGCTTCGTTTCGTTAGTTCTTTTAAGCCCATTTCGCGTTGAACATCGTTGTGGTCGGCTCTTGAAGAGCTGCCGGTACCTCGCGGGGACGTACGAGTGGCCCTTTGCCAGAGTCACCCTTCGTGCGCGCCCACTGGGGTCCCGGGATCGCTGAATGCGATGCGAAGGCATCGGCTTGCGCGCGTTGGTTCGGTTCCCCCGTGCCCCCCCCGACAGTTGTGCACCAAGGGTCATTCTTGCCTACGGTCACACTTGTGTGCAGCCGAATACAGCTGTTCTGGGCCTCCCAAATGGGATCCGAATGAGCGAGGTCGCAGAATCGCGCCGCACCAACGATGCATCGGCGATGCGGCTCGATGCGGCGCCAGAGTAGTTTCTCCACGCCAGCGTCGCCGATGCACCGCCACCGTCCCCGCTGCATCGGTGACACGTCAGCGATGGATCGGCGATGCGGTGCCGTCCTCCGACCCCGAGGAGGAGGAGGAGGAGGAGGAGGAGGAGGAGGAGGAGGAGGAGGAGGAGGAGGAGGAGGAGGAGGAGGAGGGAGGAGGGAGGAGGAGGAGGAGGAGGAGGGAGGAGGAGGAGGAGGAGGAGGAGGAGGAGGAGGAGGAGGAGGAGGAGGAGGAGGAGGAGGAGGAGGAGGAGGGTGGAGGAGGAGGCCTCCCGCCTCCCGAGAAGCTTTCTGAGCCTTCTCCGAGGCCCCACCGCCTTCTGAGAAGGCCTGCCCCCCCTCGGCGCGCCGCCGCTCTTCGCCACGGCTGGATTCGCCCCGAAATCAGGGCCAGAGCGCAACCCTGCAGAGGTCTGGGGAGCAGCGCTCTCGGTACACGCCGGTCGCTGAAACGATGTGCTTGTTGACTCCCAGATCCGAATGTCTGCTCCTAGCGCCTGCCTGCTTCAGGAGTCGATGCTCTCTTGCTGTGTTCCGTGATTTTCTCTGGGCGAGCCTGAACGCAGCCTAGTTCAGCCTCCTTCCTACTTCCTACTTCCTTCCTTCCTACTTCACGACTACTTCCTTCCTTCCTTCCTTCCTATTTCACGACTACTTCCTACTTCCTTTCAGCTTCCTTCCTACTTCCTTCCTTCCTACTTCCTACTTCCTACTTCCTACTTCCTACTTCCTTCCTTCCTACCCCTTCCTATTTCAGCCTCCTTCCTACTTCACGTTTTCACCTACTTCTTCCGACTGGCGGGTACCTTTCTGTCCCCCGTTGAGGTTGCGAACGGCGGCGCGGACGACGACGACGACGACGACGACGACGACGACGACGACGACGGCGACGGCGACGACGACGACGACGACGACGACGACGACGGCGACGACGACGACGACGACGACAACGATGACGACGACGACGACGACGACGACGACGACGACGACGACGACGACGACGACGACGACAGAGATGGCGACGGCGACGACGGCCACGACGACGACGACGATTACGTACGAGGTGGCGATGGCGACGACGACGGCGGCGAGGTCGTCGCCTCCGAGCGCCGGGGCCGGGCGCGGGCTCGGACGGGCGGTCAGGAGGGGCACCAGGGTAGGGGCCCGCAGGCAAGTTTTTTTGAGGCGGGGGTCGATGATGTCGACGGCGGCGGCGGCGGCGGCGACGACGACGACGAAGAGGTGACGACGGCGACGACGACGACGACGACGATGACGACGACGGCGACGACGACGACGACTACTGCGGCGGCGGCGACGGCGACGACGGCGAGGACGGGAAGGGGGAGGAGGAAGAGGTGGGGAGGGGGGGAGGGATAGTGGAGGTGGAAAGACAGGGCCGAGGAGGAGGAGGAAGAGGAGAAGGAGGAGAAGGAGGAAGGGGAAAAGGAGGAGGAGGAGGAGTAGCACGAGGACAGGTGCAGGGGAGGAGGAGGAGGGCAGGAGGAGGAGGAGGAGGAGGAGGAGGAGGAGGAGGAGGAGGAGGAGGAGGAGGAGGAGGAGAGGAGGAGGAGGAGGAGGAGGAGGAGGAGGAGGAGAGAGGAGGAGGCAGGAGGAGGAGGAGGAGGAGGAGGAGGAGGAAGAGGAGACGGTATCCGATCGCCGACGGCGAATGCCTGCGCGGCCGACACGTTCTCCCGCGGTTCAGCATCCTGACGAGTCCTCAGCAATGCCAGCCGCAATGAGCAAGGCCTTTGCGGCCGCCGCCCTCGTCAGCGGCTCCCGTGCTGGACAGCCCGCCCCCATGCCTGGCGCCGAAGAGGATGAGCAGGAGAGGGGAGGGGGAGGGACGAGGATCAGCGAGGCGGGGGGAGGAGCGAGGGAGGGGGAGGGGGGATGAGGATGGGGCGCCGTCCAGCGGAGGGAGCGCTGTGGCCTGAAGGTTTTCGCAGCGGGGGGGCCCTCGTCTCAGAGCGGCTGGAGAGTTCGTGCCCCCTTGGCGGCACGTCGGGGCATGAGCCATCCATCTTCTTGTTATCACGCCACACAGACGCAGCGATAGCTCGATCAATGTCGGAGCAACGTAAAAAGGAGGACGAGGCGGACCAGGAGCGGAGTAGCTGGTTGCCTTGGCACCCGATCTCAGCCCGATGTTTCTCCCTCTGCTGCAGGGAGCAGTGATCCAGAGTTTGGTGCAATATGCACTTCGTATGGTTTCATGCAAGGGATGGGGGGGGCGTTGGCATTGCACACAGCAGGCAATATGCCGGCACCCCTGCCGTAATTATTATCAAAGGCCAATGCGAAATGATCATGGGGCGTCCGCGATTGCTCCTGATTTCGGTGCACTCTGCACATTGTAAGTTTTTCTGTAAGGTATGGGGGGTGGGGTTGGCAGTGTCTCGGGTTTCTCGCCAGTCGGGTTGGGGAGGCTTTTTTTCATTCTCAAGGGACAAGGATGAACCTTTCCACGAGGGAGAGGGACGGGGTTAGAAGACGTGCCCACCGACTCCCTAAGGGGCTGGTCGGATGGGAGCGTGCTGCCTCTTTCCATTTTCTCAGAGGTGCGCTCTCGACCCGCGGATCAAAAACTGTTTCCATGTTCTCCGCCTCCCCCGCATTATCATCAATTCGGCTCAGAGCTTGTGCCGCGTATCGGCTCCTCCACCTTTCCAGCGCGCGCTCCTGCAGTACTCGCCGGCGGGGCCCCGAGAGGAGTGAGAGGGGGGGCATGTCAGCCACGCGCAGAGGGGGGTGGGGGGAGGGGGAGGGCTTCTTAGAAGCACCCTGCTTCTTAGAAGGCGCGGGCCTTCTCTATAAGATGTAAGGCCGGCGCCTTCTAAGAAGCAGCCTCCTTCTAGAAGCCCCCCCCCCCCCCCCCACCCCCTTGTGCGCGCCGCCAAGCATGCGTTCTCAGAAGGCGGCGGGGCTCCTCAGGAGCCCTCCCGCCGTCCGAGCAACCGTCCCTGTCTTCCGGAGGAGAGGCCGACAATTTGTCCGTCAGAGGCGTGGACTGAAGTTCTGCCCCTGTAGAGAGTGCGCTCCCCCACCAGGGAGGCGGGTGATAACACGTTGTGCAAGTGACATATTGCAGCGGTATGTTAGCGAGTCTGAGTTCACTTGGAGTTATCATGGCATGATTGGCACTCATGCGCCAGGGGGTAACAGTTGCAAATTATTGGGGATCCGCATATCCCCACTAGCCCACTCGAATTGATTCCTGGGCGGTTTGCTTCGGGCAGGGGATGATGGGTCAGCCGTCAAACCGAAGCTTGAGATTAGGCCGAACCCCCGAGTCTGTTATGAAGGCCAGAGCCCTGCAAACCGAAGCCAGAGTCAGCCAGAGCAGCCACCCTTGGTAATGGCCAACCTCTCTCCTCGTAGCTTGATTTGGGATGCTGCCTGACTGCATGGGCCTCAGGGTGACACTTGTTTCTCGAAGGCGCGCCGCCGATGGTCAGGGAGGCCAGCGCCTTCTGAGGCCACCCGCAGCTGGGGGAGGTGTGGCCACCCGCAGCTGGTGGAGGTGTGTCCCTTTCTCCGCTGGGGTGCACGTCGGCCTCGAAGTCCCTCTCGAGAGATCGCCGCCGAGGTGGGCCTCCCGGGGGGGGCTGCTGATCGCTCTCTCCTGGGCGAGGGGACGATGCCCAATCCCCGCGCGCGTGCCCCCAGGACTGTTGTCTTTCGACGACTTCGCGGAGGCGCACGGGCGCTCCTACGAGGCCGGCACCGATGAGTACGTGATGCGCCGCGGGCTCTACGAGGACGGCGGGGGGGGGGCGGAGGACGAGGAGGAGGAGGGCCTCGGCTTCCACATGCCTCGAGAAGATCCAGATCGCGACGGCTTCGAGACGCCCCGAGACGTTCCGAAGTCTGGCGCTTCGCGACCTCCTCCTCCCCCTCCTCCTCCTCCTCCTCCTCCTCCTCCTCCTCCTCTTCCTCCTCCACCTCCTCCTCCTCCTCCTCCTCCTTCCCCCTCCTCCCCCTCCCTGGTGGAGGCCTCCTGGTGGAGGCCGCCGTGCGGGCCGCGGTGCTGGTTGGGGCGCCGCGACGCACCGTCGCGGCTGTTGCGCGCTCGGCCATCTCCGCCACGCTCTTCGCGCGCTGGGGCCGAAGCCGACGGCCGAGGCGGCCCCTGCCGCTGCGGCCCCCGCCGTTCCTGCGCGGCCTGCTGGTGTCCGCCCGCCGCCCCCGCGGCGAGGGCGGAACGGCGGCGGCCTCGCCGCCGTGCCCTCGCAGCACGGCGCGCCGCGGAAGCGCCGCCCGCTGCTGCTGCCGCGGCGGCTGGCGTTGGGTCTGCTGCTGGAGCTGTTGCCTCGGGCCCGGGGCCCGAGGGAGCGGAGGAGGCAGAGGTGCCCGACGCGATGGAGGAGGAGGAGGAGGAGGAGGAGGAGGAGGTGAAGGAGGAGGAGGAGGAGGAGGAGGAGGAGGAGGAGGAGGAGGTGCTCGACGACGGGTGGGCCGACTAGGCCAGGCCCGTCGTGCTCTCCTCGGCGGCTGGCGGTGCTGCGCCCCGTGCGACGGCCGTGGAGGCCGAGTGGCATGCGGCGCTGACCCAGCAGTACCGCCAGAGGCCCGGCGCTTCGGCGGCCGACGTCGTGCCGTTTTCCGCCCCGCTGCTCGGTGCGCTCCGCCGCATCGCGGCCACGTGGACGGGCTCTGGCGCCGGCGCGGGGAGGGGGCAACAGCGGGGAAGGCGGCGATGGTGCCGTGCCCCCCGCGGAGGGGGGAGGCCGCCGCCCCCCCCCCTCTTGAAAAAGTGTTCGCCTTCGGCGCGCTCCACTTCATGTTCCTCTCGGGCCGCCCGCGGCCCCGACCCGCCGCCTCTTCTCGGCTTCTGCTCGCTCGCTCGTTCGCTCTCTCCTCCTCCCCTCGTTCTCCGTAGCCATTTTGGCTGAGGCCGCCTTCCCGGCTTTCTCCGCTGCCCTTTTGCCCGCGGTCGGCGGCTCGGTGGCGGCGGCGGCGGGCGGGTCTTGGATGGCTGCGGGGGGCTGCCCGCCGATGTGGCGGCCCAGCGTTCTCCCCAGGGTCGTGGAAAAGGACTCCCTCGGCGCTGCCGCGACGAGGCGTGCTGCACGGAGGCGCGGTCGCGCGCCCCTGGGGGCGGCGCTGCGTCCGCTGGTGGCGGCACGGGGCGCCCCGGGCTCGCGGGCGGACCGCGGGCGCGTGTCGAGGCTGGCTCTGCAGAGACTCGCAGCAGGGCATCGCGTCCCGGGCGTGATGCGGCCCAGGCGGAACACGGCATGGCACGCGCGCCACGTGCCGCCTGGCGGGTTCATGGCGGCGTCCTCGGCGGCGCTGTCTTGGGATGCTGCCGGGCCCCGCAGGGGGCGCACGGCTGGTGGCGCGCGGGATGAGGCCAAGCTCTTCGTGGCGTGAGGTGTTCGCCGCGCAGTTGGCGCGCGTTGCAACTGCAGTACTGCGGTGTTCGCGCCGACCCGCCGCGCAGATGCCGGGCGTGACGGAGCCCGCGCATGGCACCGAGCTGCGCGAGAGCGTGGGCGTGGACCCGGAGTTGTCGGCCGAGGGCGCGGTGCTGGACGTTTCCGCCGCGGTGCGGGATGAAGCGCGCGTCGACGAGGATGCCGAGGAGTTAGCGGGGGCACAGGTCGTGCAGGCGCCGATTGCAGATGCAGAGGTGCAGAAAGACGCTGTGCCGACGCCGAGCGCGACGGAGCTGCATGGCGAGAGCGAGGACGAGGACTCGGAGGTGGCTGCCTGCCGCGTGGCGCATCCAGAGCAGTTGGGAGCTCTGGCGCGGCTGTGGCTCATGGCTACCCTCGTGCACGACGTTTGGGGTCGGCCGAGGGTCCTGTGTCGGATGGCTCCTTCGCGGTGCAAAGGGGGGCGCGCGGCGGCGCGGGCGCCGAGCAATTCATGGGCGCGCAGGTTTCGCAGGCGCCGTTGGCTGGCGCGCAGCGGGGCGGCAAGGAGCGCGAGGGCGACGGCGTCTCGGAGGCTACGTTGGCCGCTGTTCGTGCCCCTGGCGGTGGGTCGGAGGACTGCTCGCGCGGCGCGTTCCTCTACCTACTCCGCCGCCGTTCGCCTTCGTCTGCGAGTGGCGCTCGAGGACATTCCCCGAGCGGACGGCCACTTCGATTGCGTCGGATGAGCTGGGCGCGGGCGCTCGCTCTCTCCTTCTGGGTCCGCCTCGTGATCCTCGTGCGGCGCCCCTCGGCGCGGTTTGGAGGGGCTACCCGTTCCCCCGTCGGGGCGGGTGGGCGGCCGCGGGCGGCTGCGGGGGGTGCCCGTTTTGTCCCCTGCGGGGGTGGCTTCTTTCCCCCTGGTTTGCCTTAGGGGTGGGCCAGGGTCGGTCGGATGCCTGTCTGGGCTTCTTCGGGGTCCTTCCCTCGTCGCCACGGCGTCTGCGCGGCGCGCTCGCGGCGGCGCGGGTGCCTTTCGACATTTGGGGCCCTGGCGGTCGTCTGGTTGCAGGCGGCCGCCAAAGCCTCTTCGATGATGGTGCATCCATCCTCCCTTCCGCCTTGTCCTCCTCCTCGTCCTCCTCCTCCTCCTCGTCCTCCTCCTCCTCCTCCTCCTCCTCCTCCTCCTCCTCCTCCTCTTCCTCATCATCATCATCATCGTCGTCGTCATCATCATCATCATCATCATCATCATCATCATCATCATCATCATCATCATCATCATCCTCATCGCCCTCCCCTTTTCCTTCCCCCTCCTCCTCCCCCTCCTCCTCCTCCTTTTCCTCCTCCTCCTTCTCCTCCTCGTCGTCCTCCTCCACGCGGGCCCTCCTTGGGGCCCATGGGGCAGTCAGACAGCGACTTTCGGAGGAAGGAATGGTGACACCATCACCACCACCACCGCCGCCATCGCATCGCCACCATTACCACTACTACAACCACAAGGGCCGCCAGGGGGGCCCGCCTCCAGCAATGGGGATGTGGGGATGTCTCGGGCGAGAGGGGGGGGCACGCCACCAGGACGACCCCCCCCCAGTGCCTCAGGCCTGTGGTGGTGGTGGCGTCGCCCCCCCCATGTTCCTGGACCCGGCGGGAGCAGTCGGTCTTGCAGGATGAGGCCCCACGACACGAGCAGAAACACAGCGTGAGGTCAGAGGCCCGGGGTGAGGCAGGCGCGGCAGCAGAGGCCGAGGAGGGGCGCAGAGGAGGCCGGGCGCCTGCCCGCGACACCAGGATCCAAGGGCTCCCACGAGGGCGCGAAGTTATTCGCGCTTCGCGCTTCGCGGTCCTCGTTCCTCCTCCTCGTCCTCCTTTTCTCCCTTCGGGGGGGCGGCGCGAGGGCGCGAAGTTATTCGCGCTTCGCGCTTCGCGCAGCGCGAAGCGCGAAGTTGGGAGCCCTTGAGGATCGCGAGGGGGCCTGGCCCGTGGACGCGTGAGTGGCCCCTGGCCGGACTCGGCGGGGCGCCTCTGACGGGAGGGTGCCTTCGGGGCCGCTGGCCCGGAGTCCCCCCCCCCTCGGCTTCTGGCCTCCACGCTGTGCTCAGTTGGGCACGGAGCGCGCCCGACGCCAGGGCCGTTTCGTTCGGAAGGCCGCCCAGGGACCCAGGGCTCTCCCTGGAGCAGCCTGGCGCCACCTGCGGCCAGGGCTACCCCGCGGCAGCACCCCGGTGCCGCGGCGCGGTTTCTCCTGCCTGCCGGCCTGCCACCCGCCCCCTCCGCACCGCCGCTCACGGGCAGGGCTCCGCCGAGAGGGCGAGGAGGGCGAGGGGGGAGGCTGCCCGAGGCGGGTCCGGCCGCACACGGCCCCACGAGGCGGACGGGGGCGGAGGCTCAAAGCGGCGAGGCCACGACGACGGCGGCAGGCCAAACGACGCCGACGGCGGCCGCCGGCCCAGGAGCGCCTGGCGAACGCCGAGCGCCACAACGCGCAGGAGGGCAGGCTCTGGACGGCCGGGGCGACCGCCCTCCCGTGGCGTGCCGTGGGGGCAAGGAGAGGCTTATAGGGACAGCGTTGGGCTCAGGGGGAGGCCCGATTGTCTCGGAGAGGTTCCCGCTGCTTCCTCAGCCACGCGCAGAGGGGGTGGGGGGAGGGGGGAGGTCTTCTTGGAAGCACCCCTGCTTCTTAGAAGGCGCGGGCCTTATCTATAGTCTATAGATGTATGGCCGGCGCCTTCGGGAAGCAGCCTGCTTCTAAGAAGCCCTCCCCCCTCCCCCCACCCCCTTTGTGCGCGCCGCCAGCTTCCGCCACCCGTGGTGGGTTCCGCCAGCTGCGCCTGCCCCGGGGCTTTCCAGGGGTACCGGAATCGTCCCGAACGGCCGCCAGAGTCGACCACACGTAAGAGTGACCTTTCGCCGGAGTGACCTTTGGTGCGGGCCCGTTGGGGTCCCCCGATCGCCGAACTCGACCCGACAGTAGCGTCCTGCGCGCCCGTGTTTGGTCCCCCTGCGGCGCCCCAAAGCCGCGCGCCAGAGGCCACTCTTACCCAGGGTCACTCCTGCGCGCAGCCGACAGAGGCCCAAGTTATGGCCGCCCGAACACGAAGGAGCGCAAGCGGGTACTCCAGATTTCGTAATAAAGGGAGGGGGGTCTCATTTCGGGGGGGGGTCTCTTCCAGGCTATCTTTGAGGGCCTGGGGGGTCTGGGGACGATGTTTCGGAGGGTTCTCCCACGGGGGAGGTCGGAAATGGCTTGTCTTGGAGGGTCCAGACCCCCCTCCCTTTTACTACGAAATCTGGAGTAACGTTGGGGGTGGATGGGCTCAGGGAAGACCGCACCGGTGCCCAACCTCGCCCGTGGACGGCCGAGGGGGGCCCCCATGGCCCACCCGGGCCCAGGAGCTAACGGATGTTCGCTGTCGGGAGGCCCGTCGCCGATCGAGATCGGGGGAGCGTAAAGACCCGGGTTTGCCAGGACTCGTGTTCGTAGATCTACGGGACATTCTGACCGTACGCACTCGTGTCGTAGATCCGGTGGGGAGATCAGTTTTGGGGCAAATGAACTCTGTAGTCGACCCCCCATTCGAATCGAGCATATGGACGGCACGGGACCGACGGCCACGAGATTTCGCCATTCGGCTCGACAGGTAGTTCTCTTCAAATTTATCGTTGGAGCGTAAGACCTGGGTTTGCCAGGACTCGGGTTCGCCATCGTTTTTTGACGACCACGCCTCGGATTCTGACGAGGAGGAGTTTCGTGGGGTGTCTGCAGAGGGAGGCCTCGTCAAAATGCAGGCTCGGCCTCGTCCTTTTTTTGACGACCTCGTCGGGTATTTCCGAGTCCCCTGTACCCAGGTCTTACGTCCCCCTGATATTCGGGGGTGGACAGACCTCCTACCCTGACACGTCGATCAAGGAGTTGGCCGTTTTCGGTTCGCGAGAGGGCGTCGCGGCCGTCATTTCTGCGGGTCCAGGTCCGTCGATTTCGGTCCCAGGCCGTTTTCACTAAGGGGAGGACTACTAAAGGGAGGTTTGTCCACCGCCGATCCTATCGGCGATGTATCGCCGACTCCAGGTCGATGCTCCCCCTCGTCGGGCAGTTCCCCCATTGCTGCACCTCGGAGAGGGGCGGGCACGCGGGGAGGGAGTCCGCCCCCTGCCGTCAGGCGATCGCAAGCATGGATCAGGGGGGCGTGGATTAGCGACGGGTCTCGCTTCCATGGGGAAATCGCGGATTTCCGCCGCCGAGCGAGGCGGCACCCATGTTTGCGCGCCCTTGATGCTGTTCCTGGGGCCTCTTCGACGCGTGTTCCAGCCGCTGGACGGCCACGGGGTCCTTCTTGGGCTCTGCTGGAGGTTTCACGAAGGCCTCCTGAGCCTGGACAGCACGCCGGAGGCCCACGTCCAGAATTAAGCTGGGCGTGAGCCCGTTTCTTTATTTGTTTGGGGCATGACGGGCGTCATGGCCCCCGATCCCCGCCCCTATGACGTAACGCTCCCCCCCCCCCAGTGCGCTCCGGGAGCTGCCGCCGTGCGCATTGGATGGAATCCGCGCAGGTGTCCGCGCAGGAATCCGCATAGGTGTCTGGTCTGCAGTCGTCCTCGTCGCTCGTCTTTCGTCGCTCGTCGCTCGTCGCTCGTCGCTCATCGTCGTCGTGCGCGCGGACGCCGGGCCGAGGACGGCAATCATCAGGGGGGGAGTGGAGGGGGTCGATGACGTCATGTTTCGCGCCGGCGGCGTCAGGGAATTCTTAGGAATCACGGAGGACGGGTAGCACCAGCATGTTGGTGGCGATCTGCGCCACAACGCCTGTGTACACCACAGTGCCCACGTGCACCACAGCGCCTGTGTACACCACGTCGCCTAGGTACACCACAGCAGCCGCGTGCAACGCAACGTCAGTTTGTGCCACCGCGCCTGCGGGCACAGCTGCTCTTTGGTACACCACAGCGCGCGCTTACACCACATCAGCCGTGTGCACCACGGTGCCTGTGTGCACCACAGCAATCGTGGGCAACACAGCACCACTGTTGTATATATAATGCCAGATGGAACCTTTATGACAAAATGGAGCGCTTGTGGATTCCACAGCAAACAATACATAATGATCCTTATGGACAAAGGAGCGCCGCTGGAATCTACGAGTCCCCCCGAGTCCGCCCGCACCACCCTAACTCCTCCCATCTGCGTCCAGGAGGCTCCAGCTGCATTGGCCGTCCGAGAACAGTGGACCGATTCAACAGACCATTGTGCGGTGCACGATGAGACGCGCACGTGCGCTGTAGCGCCCACCCGCACGACAGGGGGTAGTAAGCAGCGAGGAGGGAGGAACGTCGCATTCGATTATCAGCAATTTCTTCGCGTGGCGTTCAGCTTTCCGTACGTACATGCTCTTTCTATGTGTCCTATGCACGCAGGCATTGTGGTGTACACTAGCGCTGCGTTGCACGCGGACGCTGTGGTGTAGACAGATGTGTGGGGTGCACAAGCGTTGCGGTGCACGCAAAGATCGTGGTGTACACATGCGCTGTGTTGCACATGGTTGCTGCGGTGTAGACATCTACACCGGCGCTGTAGTGTACGCAAGCATTGTGGTGTACACAGGCGCTGCGTTGCACACGGCTGTTCCGGTGTACGCAGGCGCTGTGGTGTACACGCGCGTCGTGGTGCACGCGATCGCTGTGGTTTACGCAGGCGCACTGGGGCTGATCGCCACCTACATGCTGCTCGCGTCGTCGTCGTCGTCGCTCGTCGATCGTCGCCCGTCGCCCGTCGCTCGTCGCGTCGTGCGCGCGGGCGCGGCTGTGGTGCCGGCTGGAGCCACATTGGGGGGTGGCGTTACGTCATACCTCCCCCCTGCCCCCCCCGTGACGCCCGTCATCGCCGAACATCAAGAAACGCGCGTCGTGCACCTCTATAGGATGAATTTGTCAAACACAGTTTTTGAAAATACCTTGGGGATGATTTCTGGAGCATCAGTTCTGCAATTTTTGAGTATGTGCTTGACATTTTGTCAATTTTCGTCCAAAATCCGCCTGTAGGGGGGCACGCCTAACCTAAATCCAGAAGCCCGAAACATTCAACCGCCCGAGGAGTTTGTAAACGGCGCGAGGTGGAAGCGGTTCAGACAGGAACGTGGGAGCACGAGGGTGATATCTGAATTTTGGAAACACCAGCAGGCCAGCACGAGTGCTTTAAATGATGTTTTGATCGTTTTGCTCACACCGCCGTCCCAAACTATCCTGCCCCGGGCGTTTGCCCGCGCGTTCGTTGCCATTGTAGCGCTGCTGGGTGGCGGTGCTTCTCGTAAGGTGTTGCGTGGGCAGGCATGGGCGCTGAGCAGTTGCCCAGGAGAGGCCGTTGGGGCCGCGTCAGTGGCATCTTGGGTCTTGGGGCCATATGGCTGGCCCTCTCTGTATCCAGTGACCCTTCGCCACCTCCAGACCACCCACCGTGTCTGGGTCGTGGACAAGAGGCATATTTGGAGGTTTCTTTCAGTCTTTCGGAGGCCTCTTGGAGACATGGTTGGAGGCTCCTGGGGCATCTTTGGGCTTCTTGGGCCGCTTTGGAGAGTCTTCGGAGCAGTTTGGGGGACTCTTGGGGGCATCTTTTCGGGCAGGGGGGGCCTCAGGTGGGCGGGAGCCTCTTGGGGGCCTCTTGAGCCGTTTTGGGGGGATATCTTAAGCAGTTTGCGGGTTTCCTTGGGAGCATGTTGGGTTGTTATGAGGCGATCCTGGAGGCCTCTTGGGCCATCTTGGGCGGTCGGAAGCGCGAAAAGACGAACACGTTGAACTTCAACCAGCACGGCAGGAAACTCAGTGAATGTTGCTTCACTGGACCCCGTGGGGAACCTCTTGGGGCGCTGCTCCTGGGGCTCTCTGGCGGTTCTTCCTAGACTGCCAAGAAGCCATCGTGGACGGCATGGCGCGCTCCTGAATTGTGTGTCGGACCCCCTTGGGATCTCCCACAGGCCCCGCGGAGCGCTCCTGGAGCGCATTTTCACCACCCACCAAACCACCCCAACCCGAAGGCCCACATTTTCCCTCGATTTCCAGTGGGGGGGGGGGTCGGGGAACATTGAAAAAACACATGGAATCCGTACCCCCCCCAACCCGAAATTCGGGTCCAATTCGGGTCTTCGGGTTGGGTTGGGGTGGTCTGGTAGGTAGTCACATTTGGGGGCCGCGAGGGCCGCGCCCAGGACGACAAGCAATTCTGATCTGGTTTGGCCGGGGTGCTCCTCGTCCAGGGAGCCCTGGGCCGGGGCCGCCCGGCGTGCGCGCTGCGCATGCCTCGGGGGCGGCAGGGAGAGGGGGGGGCGATTAGGGGGGGGGGATCTGATGGCGGGGGCTGTGAGATCTCCCCAGATTGCATGGCGCCTCTTCTTCTTCCAATACGTCCCCGGCCACCCCCCTCTTGGACGCCCCCCTCTTGGCCGCCCCCCTCTTGGCCGCCCCCTCTTGGACGCCCCCTCTTGGCCGCCCCCCTTCTTGGCCTCCCCCCTCTTGGGCCGCGCAC